GGAATTGGAGTTGTATATGTATGTAAGCTGGTTCACCCATGCATGCAGATTTGATTACAGTGACCTCGGATTACAAATTGCTCATGTGAAAGAGCCAAAATAGTTCTGACACTGAGGGTAATAGTGAAGTCTGTTCACATAACCAACTGCCTTGGATTATATGTTGAAAACAAATTGAACAAGTGCAGCATTTTATATATTTAGGCATTTGGTATAGCTTTAATCTGGACTGGTCTTTTCATATCCAGGAAAGCACTGATAAGGCTAAATGTTTATTGATGATACTGAGGAATTTTTTTTACCTCAGGGGTGCTAAACCTATTCCTGTCCTCTTGAAAGTTTGTGAGGCTTTATTAGTCTCCAGTCTGACTCACGGTGCTCCAATCTGGTTCCAAGGCCACATTGATGAATGCGAGCAGGGTGGCGATGTGGGCCTGAATCCCAAGTGGTGAATAGCTGCTGGGAAATCGGCCCTGTGCCCCACAGCCCCCACCCCGTTCACGAAAAGACCCTTTAAAGGGTCTTTTTGCAAGTAGTGCTGCAGCCAGCGACATTCACTCTTCCTCCCTGCTGAAAGACTTAAAGGGCCCTCCACCTGATCAGCAGGCCACATGCTCCCCACCGATCAGCTGAAGCCCTTAGAATCTACAGGAGGGGAGGGAGAGTGGTGGCTGTGGCTTGGAGGGGACTTGGGGGCAGGGATTAGGGGCATCTCCGCCTGCCCCCAGAACATCCCCCCACTGGAGCAATGAGGGGACCTGGCAACTCTAGTAGGATTTCCAGCTCCGAGTCGGGAAATACCTGGAGATTTTGTGGTTGGAGCCTGAGGAGGGCGGGGTTTGGGGAGGGGAGGGGCTTCAGTGGGGTATGAGGTCATAGAGTCCAAAGCGGCCATTTTCTCCAGAGGAATTGATCTTTGTTGCTTGGAGGTCAGTTGTAAGGTCAGGAGTTCTCCAGCTACCACCTGGATGCTAGCAACCCTTTTCTGATGGGAAGATGTTCACAAAATTTCCATTTCGTACTGAGGAGGCAGCAGATATAGGCGGTGGTAACCACCAGCTGACTGCCTCTGCCAGGCCACCACCCCCTATATTGAAGGCCACACAACCAGGCACTGACGTCACCACAATGGCGTCGAGATTAGTCATAACAATCTCCCTGTGCTTATGTGGTGGCTAAGCAGAGGGCTGCTGTTTTGTGTAATGATTTCAGGTAAATGGTTGTGTTCCTTTAAATGTGTTGTTGAATTTTGCAGAGTTAGAGAGTTTACAGTTAAGAGTGTAAGAATGTTTTGTTCAATATAGCTGATTAATAGGAGAATTTGGCAGTAGTTTGAATTTAGTTGACTGACTGCTGAAGACTTCAGTTACAGGAGATTACTGTTGGCTGTAGGTGAGAGCCTTTTTTTGCATTTTAATGGCCCATCTTCCCTCTCTTTGTCTCTGTTCTGACTGAGAAAGGGGGTGGTGGGAGAAGCCATTCTCCCATTTCAGAGAAGCCATTCGGCCATGTGGATGTAGAGGTTTTGTCTGCTAAGAATCCCAACAGTTTCTGTCCTTCAGATCTGGATTAAATATGCCTTTTTGCTGAAAACGACTGTTAAGTCCGGCGCTTAACAATGAGTCGGAGAGTGATTTCAGTAAAAGACTCAAGTTTATTCAGCTCTTTCTTCACTTCTTCGACACGGTACAACATCTGATAGCCCGAACAGTTTGCCCATTGAAACTGCCCGGTATTTAAACATTCCCGGCTAACATAGCCACTCCCACTATACACATAACAACCTATCAGGTTGAGCGCATAAAGACCAATCACAAACGTTCCCGCTTGCAGCTTGCTTGAATGTGATTGGGTCGTGAGTCTTGGACTAGAATCCTCTGTCCAAGACGAAGCTTAACATTGCTTCCCTATGGGAGGTTTCCCATACATCCTAATGTACTC